TACAAAATTAACCCTTTCCACAAAATTTCAAAATTAAAAAGGGTGGGGTATTTATAAAGTGTCATATCTTTTTTATTACTAACCATTTACTAACCAATCATGCATGATTTGTAGTGTATTAATTGACCGGTGAGATGTTATATTTCCTTTTTGGATACATGAAATCCTAGGGGTCATTAAAGATTATAGGGCAACACATCCGCTTGATGACCCTTAAAGCTGACCTTTTCGATATTCAATCGCCTAACATATTTTGCATGCAATAAAAAGGTGATATATCCCACGACTGCTTATAAAACGGAAAATCAATTTAAAAATTAACATTAACCTGATGATAAGTATTAGGCCTAATTTCTATAATAAGATCCATATTTATAAAAGGGGGATAATCAAATGTAGGGGTAAATAACTCTTCTTAAACTACCTTAAAAGTCTTGTTTATTGCCTTTAGTATTTTATAACAAGAACGATTGAATACAAAATATTATATTTAAAGTTTTTATATACTTTTAAAATACGAATAGTATTGGCGGTTTATATTAATCAACAATTTTCAAATTTTCCATATATATGTCACATATGGCAAATTCCGCGAACAATAAGTTCCAAAATAATTAATTTCGAGTGATTAAGAGGAATGAAAAGGTTATTAATTCAAATGTTTGTTTGCGTGCCATTGCCACCTGCTTGTAGAAATATTGCCGGCCGAATGAAAAGTAATCTTTGTCTTTAAAATGAAGCCAAACTATCGGGGCACCTCAAAAATATAAAGCGAAGCAGGAGTAACATGGACAAAACAATTACAGATAATGTCTAGTGGGAGGAGGTGGGTTTTAATCGATGTACGCTGTTGTATATACGTGACGAACGCTTCTTGGAATGTGCGGGGTAAAGAAGATGGTAAAACGGGGGATTAACTCTATTTATGAGATTATATATCCCACAGTTCATCTAGTGTAATGACACTATTCAAATTTAATAGATGTATATATTATGCTATAGTATATTATATTATATGCAAGAAATAAGGAGTTTATCCCACACCCGTTTCTGTTTAATTTTCTCTAATATTTGTTTGGCCAACAAATTGTCAGTGTCTTCCATCAAGGGTCATCGTAGAGAACAGGCAAGTAAAAATTCCTCAAATTACAGCATGTGTGAACTTCGTTTTAGTTCATCGTAAGAGAACGTATCGGGATATAAACAAATGGTATTATTCAAGAGGGTAGCAAGTAAAAAACAAATTCGAAATTAGTATGTATATTTAACAATTTGTATGTTTACAGACAGATTACTCATTTCCACTTAAACAAGCCTTATGTATATTATTTAAAAAATAATTGGATTAAATTTTCACTCAGCCATATTTTAAGGGCATGTGTTTTGTTATTTGATGGCTGATTCCGCCCATATATGTTCGAAATTAGGCTGTTGGCTCATCGCGTGTGTTTGACAGGCTTTCTATATTTTGGAAATTAGTAGCCACGACCTACTCTTATATAGAATTCCAACTGCCAAGGGATCCTTTACGTGCACGCAGATGTGTACACGTGACTCGGTTTTTCGTCCCATCCGAGCTACTAGACATCCATTCGTGTCAGGCCATCCGACCTGCATCACTGACAAAGGGAAACCACGCCGGAAAATCCCGATGAACTTTCTCGGTCAACACCGGGATCGAACCTGCGACCTCCAGGATAGCGGGTCAGCGTCTTACTCACTTAGAGACCGTGGCTCCCCTGGAAGCATAGACAGGGGGCATCTGCTAAATTACTTATAAAAGCCAAACATATGGAAGACCAAACAGCTTTTTATTCAGTGTTCTTAGTCCTTATTTCTTAATTCATAGTACTTATTTCTTCATTTGTTGTCGTATTTCGACATTTGTATACTAAAATTAACATTTGTATCTTAAAATCAATATTTGTTTTACAAATCAGACATTTGTCATATCAGATTTGTAAAATGTATTTTGATTATATTTCAATATAAAGATAAAATTTATTTTAGAAAATAAAAATTAAGCCTACATTTACATTTCATCAGAGAAATACAACGAAAAACAAATCTGGAACAACACATTTCTAAATATAAATCTCCAAATACAAATCTTGCAAAACATTTCTCCAAAAACATTTCTTCAAAAACATATCTCGAAATCCATCGAACCGGAATATTATGACGACATGAGCGGAAATCAACCTTGTATACAACAATTCACCATACAATAAAGGAGAATCGAGCAAGCATATATACAATAATAGGGTGACCCATGTACTCACAGAAATACAGTCCACCGCTGGTAGTTCGAGACTACCACTGAAGCGTGCACATTCGCCGTGCCGAGACAAACTTTCTGACAGTATGATACTATAAATAGCCATGGCACGTGCAATTCTCTACAAATCTATCAACTATTACAGCCGTAAAAAATTTATTGTTGACGATTTTGAATAGCAGTAAAATTAAGCTTCTTGATTATTACAGCAGATTTAGAAATTACGTTCGTTTCATTTTTTAAATCGCTTTATCATTAACTGTACCGTTAAGAGCGGCATCTTTTGGTTTAGTACAAATAATATCTCTGAATCACTCGGGTTAGGCAGGAACATGATACTAGCAGTAGTTTCATTTTACTTTTACAAGCTTCTTAAAACGATTGTTGAGCTACCTAACGTGCTTATTTCTAAATTCAATTTCTTGTTCTAGCTTTCTGTTATGTTTCGTAAAAAAGTAGTCTTGATTATCCCGACCTGTCAATCAGACGTAGAATGGTCGATAGACTGGTTAAGCGAGACTAATTTCAAAACAAGGGCACGTAACCTATCTTTTACTCAAAAGTGTCTGGATGTTATGGACGACTCTTGGAACCAGTTTTCAGTCTGTTATTTATACGTGATTAATGGTCATAGCTTATTAAGTACAACATGATCGTTTATTTAGTGACTCTAATTGTTTGAAACTGATTTGAGGCTTGGCATATATATAAATATTGTGGCGTAATTGTCGAGATATATGGAGATATTTATTTATGGTGGGTCACCCTAACAATAAGAAAAATCTCTCGATGACCGCTTTGGTAAAATCACGTGCGTGGTATGGCTACACTGAAAAAACTTGTGTTGAAACAACACAAACTTGTGTTGTTTTCAACACAAGTAAGGTGTCTCTATTTAACAACACAAACTTGTGTTGAAACAACACAAAACTTGTGTTAAATGTTGAAACAACACAAAACTTGTGTTAAAATTTATCAAACAACACAAACTTGTGTGAAAATCTACACAATACTTGTGTTGAAATTTTTGAAACTTGTGTTGAAATTTCTGAAACTTGTGTTAAAATTTCTGAAACTTGTGTGGTTTCATACAAACTTGTGTATAACCATCCACAAAAACTTGTGTTGTGTTTTTCCCCAATTTATATACAGTATAGCAACCTTTTTATGCAGGACCCATCTCTTTGCTCTGTTAGACCTGTAAAGTTTGATAAAAGAAGGAAACAAAATTTTTTTTTGTTTTTGTAAGATTATTATTTATTCATAAAATCATAGGAAAAAGTAAATTAATACATCAAAACTAAATAGATATTTGAAATGTTAACAGAAAAACAGAGAATTCTAATACTAATTATATTGTGTTATATATATTGACCCCCCCCCCCCACACACACACCCCACTTTACCCATCACAAAATATAACATAGCTATTTAAATTGTTCTTAACCCCACACACTTTACCTATCACAAAATATAAAATAGCTATATAAATTGTTCTTTACCCCAAAACAAGAACTGAGAATATAAAGATATGTACACAGTATCCCTACCCCATACTCCAAAATATATAATTCAAATAATATCTAAATTTAATAACATCCAAACCAAGCACTAAGATTAATTATGCACTAAATTGAAACAATTTCAAAAACTGAAAAGTGCTACAAAATCACACTACAAGTGATTTGTGAGACATGTATGAAATGAAATGAAATGAAATGGGGTTTAACGTCCTACTGTTCTGCTCCTAACCTGGGCTAATGAAGAAGGGCATACGCCATACAGTGTGCTATGGGGGAAATTTTGCCCGGACAGCGCCAAGGGATCTTTTACGTGCACGCCAATGTGTACACGGGACCTCGGTTTTTCGTCCCATCCGAACGACTAGACAGCTTTCCTTGTCAGCCCCTCCGTCCTGCATCACTGACAAGGGAGAACCACGCCGGAAAATCTGGATGAACTTTCTCGGCCAATGCAGGGATCGAACACCCGACCTCCAGGCTAGCGAGCTAGCGTCTTACCCACCTAGTGAGACATATAGAAATAACAAATATACACAGAAAACTAACAAAAGAAAAATGCACTATTTTGCAGGAGTAATAAAATGATGTAAAACCTTTTCCTCATTAAAAAAAAAAAACCCAAACAAAATGAATATTTTGTAAATAAAAGAAGCAAAGCATCAATATTACAGGATTGAAATAAAAAAATATCATATGTACAAAAAACTTATATACAATCACAAGTCATAAGCCACAGTGGTTCAGTGAGTATAAGGTGTTGGCCGAGAAATTTCAACTGGATTTTCCGGCATAGTTCCCACTTGTCAGTAGTGTTGGATATGGCAAGGGATAATTGGGTACAAGCCCGGAATCGAAAGAGAGAGAGAGAGAAATGGGGTTTAACGTCCACTTGACACAAACTAGGTCATTTCGGGATTAACATATGGTTTAATTTTATTTCAATAATTCGTTGCGCATAGGGGTCTTTAGCAGTGGGAGGAAACCAGAGGTCCCGGAGAAAACCCACAAGATTGGACAGGCAACCCTAGTCCTTGTCACGTACAACCGGGGATTCGAAACCACGCCAGTTGACTCAATGACAGGCCGTATGATACCGCACGCACGTGCTTACCATTCGGCCATCCACCACCCCCTCCCCCATTCCCGGAATCGAAACCATCCCCACTCAATGACAGACTTCCTGATCAAATGTGTGCGTGTTAATCATTGCCTCCCCCCCCCCCGGGTTCCCGTTAAAGAACCCTTGACAGTTGCAATATTTTATATAAGAGTAGGGTGTAGGGCAGAATCACTCTAAGAACACAGAAAAGTAGGATACTAAACCGTATTTCATTTCATAAGCAAGGGAAAGTCACCTTTATGTAGGTCAAGGTTTTTTGTAATTCCGGGTGTATTTGATCTACATTTGGTTTCTAGTAATGCCTATTAAATACTTTATGATTTCTGACCAAATTCTAAGTGATTTATATGTCACTTTACTTGCTATATTATACATACATTTCTGAAGAGAATTAAAATCTAATTGTGTTTTGGAAGAAAAGTTAACATTAATAACAAAAAATAAATATTTAAAAATTGGGTCAAATGCATTCTTTCCCAGAAGTATAAAATAAATTGATGCTTGGGTTTTCTTGTTGTTATCATACAGCAAATACTCTTTCAATGGTGTTCCAGCCTAAAAAATAAAAAGTAGGCAATAAGAATACTTTCTATGGTTCACAACGTTTAAATAAACAATTTATTTTGCCACATCGAGACCGAGTCTCTATTTCGTTTCAACTTTGCGTAATGCTTATTGTGTCTTGTCCAGTTACAGACCCAGGCAGATTATTATGCTCAAATCAAATGAGTTAGAAGTCAGAAAAAAGTCTTGAGATTTGGGACTGAAGTCTCATAATAGGTCAACTATTCACCCTTTCATACATGTATTGTCTGCAAATCCAGATTCCCTACTACATCATGGCAGCACCTATTTACTTGGCAATGTCTAATTATTTTTGGACCCATTCTTATTTTATTTCCATTGACAACAAATTGGATATTACCCTTTCAAATCTATTGAAATCTATTTGAAAGTAAAATACTGTCCATCATTATTTTACTGCTATTTACTGTAAAAATACACATACATGTAGGGCCTATCGCAACTTAATGGATGTGATTGGCAAAAATCAAGCATGCCAAGTACTTGAAACAACAGAGTCCTAGGCATTCCCCAAGAAGAATAACTAGATTACCAAGCAAGTGTATAGAAGTACTTCCTGATTAAAAATACAAATATATATGTTACTTACATTTTGCGTGTTTTCACCTTGTCAGTGATACAGGACGGAGGACCTGACAAGGGCAGCTGTCTAGTCGTTCGGATGGGACGAAAAACCGAGGTCCCGTGTACACATTGGCGTGCACGTAAAAGATTCCTTGGCAATTGGAATTCGATATAAGAGTAGGCTGTAGCGCCGCTGCCCGGGCAAAATACCCTTCATAGCACACTGTATGGCGTATGCCCGTCTTCATTCGGATGGGACGAAAAACCGAGGTCCCGTGTACACATTGGCGTGCACGTAAAAGATTCCTTGGCAATTGGAATTCGATATAAGAGTAGGCTGTAGCGCCGCTGCCCGGGCAAAATTCCCTTCATAGCACACTGTATGGCGTATGCCCGTCTTCATTAGCCCAATTTATGAGCAAAACAGTAGGATGTTAAACCCCATTTCATTTCATTTTCAAAATTATAAAATAATTTGATGGCTTAATATTCAAAAGGTACAGTCCTTCAGGTTTATAAAATTGTACGGGAGCCATAAAAAGCTCCTGGTACCTTGAATATATGCAGTTTAAAAGTAAACAAAAATCTCAATATTTAGGAGAGAGAGAGAGAAATGGGGTTTAACGTCCATCCAACCCCCCCCACCAAGTGTATAGAACCAGTTCCTGATTTAAAAAGCAAATATGCATGGTAATTACATAGTCTTTGTCTGATAAGCAAGATCTGTGAGAAAACGTCTCCACAATATCAATAGCCCTTTCCAACTTGATCTTCCGAGGTGGGTAACTGAAAAAAAAATTGGCAATGTATTAGTTGGCTTAAATTGACTAGACAGTTTTGATTAATTAAAAAAATGTTAATTTAATTACATTTGTTTTGTTTCATGTGTTGGTTTGCTTTGCCACAGATGAGACAGTGATATCTACATATAACTAAGATTCTGTCTCTGCTCATACATGACGTGTACAGTTTTACTATACTAAACTGAATTTTAGATTTCAAAATAGCATAACAATCTTTTCTATTAGAATTGAATAGTTACCCACCAAGAAAAAGCTGCTCTATCATCATTTTTTCCAGCCATTTCTTCTTCCATTTTTTTCTTTTATAATTTCTTTTGTAATTACATGATCTTTTTCTGGGTGATTTGCATATACATCCAATATTGAAACTGAAAAAATAAATACATGATATGTAATTTACGATTAAAGCTACCTTACCATATATACAAACTGTGTGATATGAAATTGAAACTAATGTATCTATATGTATCAAAAGTTTTAATCCCAAGGAACTACCTAAGCCGTAAAAGTCTATCTTAATAATCCTTGTTTGTCACATGGTTTCACTGTCGCAGTAATTAGAAGACGGCCATGGTGACTGAGTAAATTAGGTGCTGGCACACTAGCATGGAGGCCACAGGTTATCTCTTGGGGTTGACCGAGAAAGCTCATCTTGATTTTGCAGAGTGGTTTCCCCCGAGATCCAATGTACACATTGGCGTACACATAAAAGTTCTCTTGGCAGTTTGAATTCGGTATGAGAGTAGGCCATAGTGTCGCTGCCCAGACAAACATTTTCACTTAGCACAATGCATTAGACCAGTCGGAGCTGACCAGTAGGACGTTGTCTTTAAACCCCATTTCATTTCAGGCAATCTAGTATTTTTCTAGTAAGATTGAAGTCTCTCTGCTTTCTTTATATGTAAATATCATATTTGAAATAAGTCATACTTTTATTCGATATGGGGTGGGGCTGGGGGGAATGGTCTAGTAGGTAATGCATGCGCATGAAATCACAGGGTCTGTCATTGTGTTAAGTGGCATGGTTTCAATTTCAAGGAGTAGAGTCGCCTGTCCAATCTCTTGAGTTTTTTCGCTGGGTCATTCGGTTTCCTCCGTTTTCTAAATACATGCACCCCTACGCCAAGCGAATTATTCATATTAAATTGAAGCATACCTTCTCTAATCTCTGGGTCCTTTTGTTTCCTCCTTTTGCTAAATACCCATACCCGCAAGCGAATTATTCATATTAAATTTAACCTTAGCTGTCCTTTTTCCCGAAACGACCTAGCGTCTGTAGGCTTAGTAGATATAAGGACCCATCTTGCAACAACTCTACATGTAGGTTCGCGCATAATTAATATTACAGTAACATACCAATTTTTAATACATGTAGAATGAGACAGTGTGCAGGGAAATGGTGGAAACGGAAGTAGGCTAATCCTCGTCGTAGTTGATTACCGGTATGCATATAGGCACAGCATGGACTACTTGATTCTTCAAATACAAGTACATGTAAGGCCTTGTATATGTCATTTCTCTCTCTCTCTCTCTCTCTCTCTCTCTCTCTCTCTCTGTTGCATGTAAGTGCCATATAAATACTTTATTTTGGATTGTATGTTCACCTACACTAATCATTGTAGGACATTGGTAAAAAAAAAAAATAGAAAATATAAAAATTAATTGAAATTTTTACCTGTTTTTCTTCGATTCAATGCCAATGGAGTCCTTGGTAAATTCTCAATAATTATTGCTGGAAGGTGGAAAGAGTCACATATCATAACTGACTGGAAAAAATAATAAAACTATAGAGAAACTTCCACAGGCTGATTCTAGTTCCGTTATTTATTAACTGTGACTGAATCAGGCAAAAATGGGGCCTAATATTAAATATTACACAGACTCACAGAGGTTGAACAACGGATTACATGTCATTTGGGACTCAAAAAAATATGACCACGACATTTGGGACTCGGGTATACGACGTTTGGGACTTTGGTATACGTCGTTTGGGACTCGGGTTAACGACGTTTGGGACTCGGGATAATTTATTAGAAATAGGCCAATTCAAAACACGAAAGAAAATATTTATTAACATGAAACACGTGGTTAGTAAAAGGCTCAACCAAACGATAAAACATTAGTTGCACTAACGGTTCTTTGATAATCATCGTTTCTCATAAAAGTTTTATATTTATTTAAAACGAATAATATGCTGATGAATTTATTTGAAAATGACCTACACAAAAAACAAAATAAATATTTACACGACATGCAATCTTTTTTTACAAGCCCCTAGAAATTGTTAACGATAATCCGTGAGCTGCACGTTGACATGCTTGTCGTAGATGGCAATACCAATTGATAAATTAGTGCGTACAAGGCAAAGTTTTTTTGTGGAAAATATAAGAAATGGCAACAAAGCGGGATAATTAAAGCTGATTAACTGATAATCCCAATGTTATTACAGTATGTTCAAAGAAACCTAACGGTTCTTTGGTGGATGAGGAAAAACGTGAGTTGTCAATCTTCGAGAATGGCGGCCGTGTGTTGATTGCAGTTATACCGTTTCACGAAAAAACATTAGCAGTGGTCGGTCAATCAAGCTCGTTTACTATTTATAACGCAAATTTTTCGTTTCGGTTAAAACAAAATATACGTCCATTTTAATTGGCCGAAGATGTGTGACTAATAGAAATATGGCGGGCGGACAAACTGACCAAACAGTATATTTCGAGGTATTTGAGGTAAGCTAATTTAATATTATATCATAACTGCATGTGCATACTTGTGTTTCTGTGTGATTAAATATTCAAAAAATCATTCTTAGGATACAGCCTCGACACCAGTCCGCCTTGAATTGCAATGTTTGTTTTGTGTTCTGGGCGCCATTTTGAAAAAAACTGACATGACCTATATAATACAATCCAGCGATAGTGCAGTCAATTTCCTTTAAAAGGGAATCCGAATTTGTTAATTTTCTGCAATATCACTTCGGTGGTAGCGGACGTTAAATAAAGCTATTTTACGTACAAAGACCTACAATAAAATCCAGGTGAATTGGGAAAAATATTCATGTATTTTCTTGATGAAGAGTAGCTATTTCAATTTGTAAATGCCCAGTCATCTTAGACAAATAATAATTCCAACTTCAAATCAGTTGTATTTATTCAAATCATACTATGAATAATTGTATTTTTCCACTTGCATAATAATAAAAACTTGACTTTTATTATTTTATTTCTTCGGGCCAAGAACATGGAAAATTGGTAATTGCCTTGTATCACTGCTAACTATAAGGCACTGGGAGCCTTGGGCAGAAATGATAATAATATGGTTCTCAGATATGTTACTGTGTACAGACTGAACAAAAAATATATATACACTTGCTATTACATGTACATTATATCATTGGCAATAATAAGATCCAATTTTAGTTTTTAGTTACACACTGTTAACCACCAATAGATGACAATAAATCATAAAATGTATTCAGCTCGACGTAAGACTTAAATAAATAGATACAGTTGGTTTAACTTGAATAGAAGTTTTAATTATCTATGCTGCATATATGCATATATCACCTTGTAGCTGAATCACATTACATATCTTTTTAGTTGATGTTCATATCGTCTTACGTATTTGTCAACATCAATGTGACCTTGTTCTATGTCACATTAGCCTTTTCAGACTTGTTACCACGAATTTACTCACCACACCCTCGCATAGTTATGAATTTATTGTTTCACTTGACTAAAGAAACATTTTGTAGGAATGTATGCTTTTATAGATTGGACACTTGTTTGCAATATCATTGTCGGTGGAAACTGGCACTATACCTAAAGAATGACTGAACAAATAGCGGAGACGGGGTTTCAGCCGGCTGATTTAAATTATTTCTTTAAATACAGTAAAGCTTGAAATATGTCAGTTTTCACTCTTTAAAATGTTTTTGTAAATAAGTTTTTATTGTAGTTTCCGTGGCGTATTCCCAATAAGCGTTAGAAACAAAGATATACACCCTTAATCCCGGTGCCGATAAATGTTGGGTTGTGTGGAACATGCTAACAAATCTCGGGTACGATATATGTTTGATTCTGGTTGAGAACAGCATGAGAGCAACATGATTGTTTTCATTGGAGATGAGACGCAAATATTCAAAGGGGTCAGACAAACTCTAAACCAACCGCGTTCCCTTCACTGAGTCCCTTCAAAGGAGGCCCTGTCTGTCTACCTGTGGAATAACATGCATTTGTATCTGTTAAATTTTTGTGGTAGACAGATTGATATTATTTATATAACGTCTTACCCCAAACAAATTGCAAAAGAAACCATGAAGTTTCTGAGAGCGATATTTCGTAATTAGTGTGCTTTAATGGTGGGAGAATAAATAATTTCTTTTTAAATTTTTCAAACACAAACTGGTCATATGACAAGACCAGCGATAATCTCGTAAGATATGACTTTTACTATGTCTATTAAATGGTTTTCGACGTCTCTTCAAGGTCACCGTCTTGCGCCAAAGTCGTGAAACGCACCGTCGGGGGATTTGTTGGGGCCTGTCTCCCCCAGAAAAATTTCTAGAAATTTCAAGTCGGTCTTGCCTGGCCGTGAATACGGCAACCTGAAAGTGGTCGATTTTAATGTAGACATCTGAACTCCAATCAACAAATCAATCAACCAGGCTGTTGTCGTTGCATTCACATGACACCAGACGTGTCACCGATGAAACAAATATGCCTGAAACAAATGTCGCTGTTAGTGCGACCCATTTGTGACAATTTCAAGGTCCCAAATAATAGTCCTTTTTTACTATTAATAGTAATTCAATCAGTAAGTGCTATTTACCTTATAATAGTCGTCTTGGCTTTTACCCGACATTACACAAAACACCAATGGTAACTGTCGGGTGGTCTCTCCAGTCTTAATGAAGGCGTGGATGGAAAACAGCTGAGACCATGGCTTGTTCACCACCCGAAAAGTTGCATCCATATACCAAGTTTTTGCGCGTGCGAGTAGTTGCATCTGTCTATCAGTACAAAAAATGTGATGGCGCCTTTCCCCAACTTTTACTCTTTTTTGATAAAATCCCGGTGCACTATGATCAATGAAATCTTCGTCAAGCTAAAACAAAAAAAAAAAAATAAAAAAGTACATTTAATTACATGTTAATAAATAAATAAAATTGTACATTTAATTACATGTTAATAAATTCTTATATACATGGGTATTTAATTGCATGAGTACTTACGCTTGACGACACGTCAGTGGGATCTTTTGGTCGCAGAGTCTGTCGGGTTCTTTGTAGCGACCTTACAAGTGCTGCCATGGGTGGTCTGCTATGAATGGGTTCTTCTGCAGAACCGACACTGGATAAAACTCTCTCCGCTATTGAGGAACATGACTTGGTAAAAACATTTCCTTTGGCTTCATGCTTTGCCTGTAATGATAAGATAAAACATATTAAACTACAAATATATTATTGGTTTATTTATATTTTATTTATTTACACACATATATAAATTTTTAATTTAAATGATATATAATTTTTAAACCTACTGTAACTTTTATCTTGGTAGCCGTCTGTATACCGGGTTCTGCTGGGTGAAGATGGTTCTTTAAGCCTGGTTGGTATGTATCACCATCTTGGATTACTGTTGCCGGACATCGTCGGCATCGTCTGAGATGGAGGACTCCATGACCGGAACTGGCACATCGTATCGGGTTTCGGCTGTAAGCGATTCTTCTACTTCCATAGGTTCAGTTGTTGGGACCTCCATAACTTCTTTTTGTTGTTCGTCCATATCTTCCGTCTGCTTATTAGATTTAAGGTTGTTTTTTTAAACATAAATTAGATTACAATTCAACTAACACAAAAGTGTAAAAAGATTTTTTTCTAGTCTGTGCCCGCGTTTATGTCTACTCTTGGCAAAATTGTTATAATATAAAAAAAATCATGAAACAAGAATCAAAATGGCCGCCAATCGGGTCTCCATCGCCAATCCAACCTCCCAAGATATAATTTCAAAACAGATTCTTCTTACCTGCTGGTTCAAGTCGAGCCGTTTCTGCTTTAATCATAATGTGATTCTGTAATGTAAGTATTTGAACAACATCGTAGCGCCGAACAACTAATGTTAATTAAGCATGATTTCAGAAAAATTGAACAGATTTGATAATAACATGCCGAAATTTTTTTCCTGACCGCGCCATATTATAAACATGAACTTCCGGTTTAAATTGTTGGAGTTTTTTTTAAGGAAACGAAATACTAATATTATACAGAGAAACAATATCGATGCTAAATTACATACATGGAATTATTTTTTTTATATAAATATTCACAAACCTGCGGTCTTGTATTCTATGTGACCATTAGCTTACATTTGTCAAACATATCACTGCTCCAAAATCATTTCAGCACGTTGTTAAATGTTAAATTAATTGTGTGAAATCACTTCATTTAATGTCCGCTTCCACCGAGATGATATCGCAGACAAAATGTAGCCTATAGTACGTTGATTTTATCAACCAATCACATTCAATAACAGTTTTACTTATTTTCTTGTCAACGCTTTTTGAGTCAATTGTTAAAATCACACCGGGCATGAGCGCTCAACAGGCCTTTGATCTACCAGTTTATTGGGCCCAATTTTATTTTAACTACAGACATCTTAACACCAATTAGCATTCAAGTCTGTCTGGCTATATTGTCTGAGTAAAAAATACCTTTCTCTTACTTGTGGACCCCCGGATTAAGACTTTGTATGGAGTTCAAATTAAAAAAAAAAAAATTTGTTGACGGTACACATTACTTGTGTTAATTATATGGAAAAAACACAAGATTTGTGTTAATGCATTAAAAAGAACACAAGTTTGTGTTAATGCAATACAAAACAACACATAACTTGTGTAGAATAATTTTCACACAAGTACTTGTGTTGAGATCCAACACAAGTTTTTTTTTCAGTGTAATCGGGCCTGGCCTTCGAGAAAGAAAATAAATTGAAAGTAGTCATAAAGTTCCGGTTCGATGAATTTCGAGAAATGTTTTTGTAGAAATGTTAAAGAAGAAATGTTTTTGGAGAAATGTTTTGCAAGATTTGTGTTTGGAGATTTGTATTTAGAAATTTGTTTTTCGTTGTATGTCTATGATGAAATGAAAATGTAGATTATTTCTTTGATTTACTAAAATAAATTTTCTCTTTATATTAATATAAAATTAAATTAAACAAAAATGCATTTTACAAATCTGGTATGACAAGTGTCTGATTTGTAAAACAAATATTGAATTTAAAATACAAATGTTAATTTCAGTGTACAAATGTCGAAATACGACAACAAATGAAGAAATAAGAATTAAGGACTATGATGAATTAAGAACTAAGAATTAAGAACACTGAATAAAAAGCTGTTTGGTCTTCCATACAAACAGTCCATTCTTTTTGTGTTAAAAACAGATTTCGATGTAACCACAGTTAAAAAGATATTTCGACATTACATGGTGCAATCAAGATATATTTTTTTCTATACATACATGGTATTATTTCATCAAAATCAAATAAAATCTACAGTAGTACTCCACTAAGAAACCCGTTTCCTTTTCGTATACTTACACCAAAATGCATTTTAGTTGATTACCTGCGTATGTATTGGCAATCAACCCCAGACCCTTTTTATGTTTTTCCCGACCCCCCCCCCCCTCACTTAGGGACACCTCCACACTCTCTAGACTTTATAACCAATTTCTTACCGCGTATGATGTTTTGAACCCTATCGATTACTGCCTTAATTTTCTTTGCTCGTTTTTTTATTTATAGACATGGACAAAAGAATTGTGTGCGAAAGATTCTGATGGTGATGGTAAAACAAATGGTTACGAATTAGGTGATCCAAATTGTTCTTGGGTGGCGGGCCAGCCATCTCCAGAAAGTGCAACTTTATCGCACCCAGGTATAACATTTGATCAACAGCCACCAGATTTTTATTGAGTTTATTCCCGATGACTTAGTGATAGAGGATGATTCTCGACAGAAAACAACGCGGTGGACCTTATGTATATATAAAATCTGTTTATCAATTCATTTACAATAATTATATTCCAAAGGCCATTTGAAATAAGAATAGTTCATACGATCTCATCAACACGCTTTAAATATCACATAGGATGGATGATATTATACCTTATTTTGTCAATACGCCAGTTGTCATTTATGGCCTAAAATACCCTTATCCCTTTGAAAATAACATACGGATGAAGTTTGTCTGGACACCAAGGTTTATGGATACTCTTCGTGGAATATTAACTCTTTGAATTAGTTTATGAGCAAGTCAAAGTGCCCGACTATTTCCATTTGTCAGCGTACAATAGCTATCACTGGCAAGGAAAGGGCTTACACAGGCAATTCCTGTTCTTCAATCCTATTCCTGTTCTTCAATCCTATTCATTCATTTATGAATGAAATATTATTGTATATATATAAAAAGATTATGTCGATCGAGATTCATAAATAAACCTACTGATTTCCTTATTGATGTTTTCTTTATTGCATATCCTACTAAAAATCTCACAATCCATATACATGCATAGAAACATCATATTTTCTGTGTCGTATTACAGATGAGCGCCTTAATTTCAGGAGTTTGTGAGCCATGGAATGATCCAAAATGCCAACACCAACTGTCCTGGGTGTCCGAGGCCTGCAAAAGTGATGAATTTATCTGTAATGCACTAAATGAAATAGGTAAGTAAACTAATTCAAACTAATCTATCCAAAGAAAACCTACTTTATCTAACGAGCATTGTTCAATAAAATTCAAACATTATAGTGGATATTGACACATCTTGTACTGATTTCGATAACATTTTATTTCTATATTCCAAACAGAATCTACTGGGTGGTGCAACTTGCCCCTCTTCACCCCAAAACGTGTTATTTAACATACCAAAGTCATAAACTTACGGAGACTGTGCCTCATATTATTCCGAAAAGTTAGGGTATGCTCATGGTGTAATATCTTCTTGGTAGCGTTGAATTGGCTAACAAACTAACATTAACCTCGTCTTATTGCAAGGCTTTCGGGATATATTTAGATCAACAAAATGCTGTGCTTTAATCATGCTAGTTAGTAATATTGAGGTCGTTGTCTGGTATCCGAATTGCCATAAAAGAATAATCATGGCTGTCACGATGCTTTAGATGCATTTTGACTACTGATAAATAGAGTTGATAGTCTTTCCTTATCATTATAATTTTATTATTATTCTATACAGATGTAAAGAACATGACGATGAAATTCCCATCTACACCAGTACCCGTTCAAGAAACAACCTATATATGTATGGAGTTTGAATTGGATAATACTGGAGATTATCATATGGTAGCTACTCAACCTATTGTTGACAATGTCAATGTTATGCACCATGCTGTTATATTTGGATGTTCAAGTGGTAAGCCATTACATAATACATAGAATTGAATATTTGCTTATTTTTCCCGTGCGCATTGTGTAATATTTAAGCCTCCATTCTAAATTGGTAGAGTTCAAAATTTTATTTGAATGGTTGCTGGTAATATATGTTATAGTTAACCGTTCATACTAGAGTCGTAGAATTCTACTTATGTGGACCAATTGGCACTATGTACAGCCAAATAACTGAATGTTTTACTTTATAATGTGAGATATTCAAAACATTTATGAAATATTTTCTCTCTGGATTTTCGTTTTTCCCCGAAAAACTCCCATGGAGCGCATACAGGACGGTTATGAATGTCTGGTCGTGTAACGTCAAAGGATGTCTGATCTATATGTTGATAAACCTGATGGTGAGCGGATTAGGATAAAGTGAGGGACTTAAACATACAACAGTTCCTAAGATAAAAACCACGGAAAAGGACGTGGGTAGGTTTCGCGCCAGCCAGGTCACGTGACATAAACATGACTTCTTTTAATATATTCTTTTATAGCAAATATAATGTTTTGAAGCAAAAGTTTAATAGAATAATTACCTTGAATATGTGTTTAGTCCAAATATATCCATCAAATCACCCAGTTTGTACGCGGGAAGGTATCTTAAATGTATTTTTCATTCTATGTTTTTTAGTCGCACAATTTTTTGTTGTGTAATATTTGACTAAAGTAGAACATAGTTATCGGAAATTTGTATATAGTGCGCCTATACCCCTGGTATAGTAGTTAAAGTAGAACGAATTAACTGTTAACATGCTAGTAAAATAAGCCTTCGACAGTTGGAAATCGACGAAGAGTAGACAGAAACGTGGCTGTCAGGTTATAACTTTCCTCGTGTAGAAAATTAGGACTTTAAACACCATTTCATTCAATTTCATAATATAACGCAAAACGCATATTTCGTACCGACTGAAAAAAATTCAAATAAGTAGCAAGACAATTGACCTATTCACGCGGCCGTGTGCACTTTATTAAACTAAACATATATATTGTGTTTCTTCTTCAGACACTCATGACATTAGATCAACACCTCACGAATGTGGAATGGTAGCCAGTAGAGAGTGTGGACAAATCTTGAGTATCTGGACCCTTGGAAGTTCAGGCGAATGTTTACATGACAAAGTTGGTATTAGAATTGGAACTAATGGAATTAAGAGAGTGGCCTTACAGGTCAGTTAGTTAAATATTCGTTCAATTATGGTTTTAAAAACAATCCATTAAAATGCCATTTTGCATCATTATATTGAGGTGGTATGTGGTAGTATTGGATAGTATTGGGTAAATCGTCCCGCCCTTCTGTGGTCCTTGCACACTGTTATTATAATAATTCGGTTTGTTTTTTGTTTATTTTTCCGTATGACCGTATTGGATGTATTCACTTCGCGCTGGTGATAGTTTCTGTTAAGCCAACTGTCGTAAGTACAGCTATGGAAAATAGTCTCTCTGCACCTACATTGTACATGAAACCGAAAGTCGCGAATATATTAGATTTCCTGTTCCGGAAAACAATGATATTCTGTATTTAATTGCCCCAGTGTCGTTACTTATACATATTTATTCACGTTTTGTATTAACGACCATGACTGGTACGATAAGAAGTTAAATGCACACACATATGTATATAACAGTTGTTCATTTTGTTTAGTTTCACTGGAACAATCCTACTCTGAAAACAGATTACACCGATTCATCTGGAATAATTGTACATTATACAAGTAATAGGCGTGAAAATGATGCTGGTGTATGGACTATTGGTCCAGAGCGTTTTGTTGTGCCACCACGGACCCTGAATACAGAATTAACTGGTTACTGTCCTAGTAGTTGTACCAGCTCCATGCTTAGTGATAAAATTTATATCGTGTCTGCATTCAACCACATGCATTATATAGGTGAGCAAGATGAACAGGTAAACGGTTTTAAAATTCATTTTTCGAATAGCAAAAGAATTGATTTCCGAGTGATAATTAAAGTCATCTGTGAAGAAATGAGGGGATCTCCGTGGACCACGAGTAAGGAAATAACAACGGGGTGCAGTACAACTTCTCTTAGTAAGATAAAGGTGTAACGCTGCATATTACACGAATGCACGAGACTTAAACCTATTGACATTGGCGTCAATTACTTCCCCATATCGCCAGTCTACGACCCACTCAAACGTTTCCTAGGGTTTCACGATTTCTTCCTCAAAGATAAACCTCCCTACAACCAGCGTCCATCATCTTTGATATTGATAAAAAAAATGAGATGACATTGTTAAACCTTTTAAAATGTATCCTTATGTGTGGTTTATTACCATGGCAATATTTTGTCGCCTTATACAGTCTGAAGTATAGTTATGGTATCAGTTATACTGAAAATGAAAGATCGAACGAACTGCACCTTTAAAATAGACGAGTATTACCCAGAAAGTGCATCTCCGTAAAGGCGATATTCTTTATACATAACTACACTTCGGGGTTGTATGAAGAAGCATCTCGCCTATTTATCAAAATCATAAATATTATCGTCTAGAATCTAGATATTATTGTCGGTCACATTTGCACTTAAACAGGTTGAAGATGAAAGGCTCTTTAAGACAGCTATTCGTTACAGCTTTGATTGTTGAGGTCGTAGAATACTTGTAGTAATTGTGCCCCTTTTGATATCTGTTGGATATTCTATCTTCCCAGTTAATTTGGCAATGATTTAAAGGCCTAAAGGTTCCCTTCTGAGCAATTGTACGTGTCACGAAGTTGTTATTTTCTCCTCAGATGAATAATAAATATGTCATACAAAGGGAACTTAAGGCTCCATAAGGCTGCATTTTGTAAACAAAAACTACAGTTATACAACTGGCACACGTTTGAAATTTCAATAAGGTTATATCATTAAGTTAATTTACATTATTTGCAGGTGCCAAACAGAAGATAGAACTTTTTCGCGACGGAAAAAGAATAATAGACATTACTAACGATGAAAAGTATAATTACGACAGTCCTCTTGTCCATGAGTAAGTATCCAATCATACATAGTTCCAGGCTTTCAAACAGTTTTTCATTTCATTTGAGATAAACATATATTTATAATGTCGTTACGTGCGAAAAGTGTAAGACCATTTGTACAGCGAGTATTTGCATTGAACAAATCTAAAAGGTTCTTCGCGCCCCGAGATGGGTGTTCAGCCCCGGACTCACTTGTGAACACACTTTCTGACCATGTAACAATTTCCTTACTATATATGTCGATAAAACAGGAATAACATGTATTTGTCAATGTTCTATCTTATTCAGATTTTCAACGCCCATTGAAGTTCGGCCAGGTGATGTTCTTACTACTACGTGCGGTTTTAACTCTATGAACAGAGATGCAGTCACTAATTGGGGAGACGCAACAAGTGATGAAATGTGTTATGGATTTATGACCTACTACCCGAAAGAAAACGTCAGACAATTATTCTGTACGGGCTTTAGAAGCATCCCTTATTGCGCAATTGAGGATGGCAACGTTTTCGAGGGATGTGAGGTATCCAAGTATACCAGACAAACTCCAGAAACAAATAATTTTTATGTTGACCTGAATAATACGTGCTTTAACTCGTGTACTACAGAATGTCTCCGTTTATTGGATAATAATCCATGCTTGAAAGGTGACCCCAGAGCTTACATGGACGTGGTCTATGGTTCATCCGATATAGGCAGGGAGATGAAACGAATGTTTTCTCAGTGTGATGGTAAGCTTACCCTTAAACCAACTACACCCTCTACAGTTGGTGGTAATGGTAATGCCAGGCCTACACCCTCTACAGTTGGTGGTAATGGTAATGCCAAGCAGATTATTTCGTCAATAAAGATGATATTGTCATTTGCCTTGGTAGCATCGCTGCTTAGATTTTAAGTTGGATGTTTTTAAAACTTAAATCACTTTAGAAATAAAATAAAATATATATTTTAAAAGATATTTTACTCCATTATTTCAAATCATGACCTTGCTTTTTGTAATAATTTTGATATTTTTTTTATTGAATATACATTCCATTTTTTATGACCGGTTGATAAATTTATAACTTAGAGACATAAAATTATTACTTTTTGCTGTTGAATTTATATTTATATTTCTTATATTGAATATACATTCCATTTTTTATGACATATTGATTAATTTTTAAGACATATACTTTTTTGTTATTGAATTAATATTGATATTTACTGTATTTACTATTTGTAAGCAGATCTAACGATGTTATTGTAGTCAAATCTTTGTAATTTCAAACTAATTGAAATAAAGTGGTATTTTTCTGTACTGACCGTTACTGCACCCGTTACCGTAATCTCGTTAGCCCTTCCCACTAGATTTTGAATCATAACAATAACTGTGGTTCTATGGCTATTCCATACTGAAATTCAAACTCACCCCTCTTTTTTATGCACAGTTGTTGACCCAAAATGCTACTAGGTCATATTTTTATTGCGTTGTAATTGTCCTACGCCTTCCGAAGAAAGTTGGGGGCTATTGAAATGGGTCCATCGGCCTGTCTGTTATAGCATTTTCTGGTCAGGGTAAGCAGACCGATAAGCAATTTGATTAGTTGAGAATTTGGAACAAAACAACCCTCCTTCAAATTGAGGTAGAATGTTCAAACATGGTGTAAGTATTTTTTATTGCGTTGTAATTGTCCTCCGCCTTCCGAAGAAAGCTGGGGGGGGGGGGGTATTGAAACGGGTCCATCTGTCTGTTATGAGCATTTTCTGGTTAGGGTAAGCAGACCGATGAGCAATTTGATTAGTCGAGAATTTGGAACAAAACAACTCTCCTTGAAATTGAAGTAGACTGTTCAAACATGTTGTAGGTATTTTTGGAGGAATCTCTTGACGGAGTTCGAAGGTGAGCAATTGTTGGTTAGGCTAAGCAGAGATAAGCAATTTGATTGGTTGATGCTTTGGGAAACGATGACTTTGGTTCTAATTTAGTGCGAGTGATATAACATGGTGTATAGTTTCATTATATCGATACCTTAACTAAGTTCGATAATGAGCATTTTCTGCTCAGGGTAAGCATGAGCGATAAAAAATTTGATTGGCCGAGACTTTGAGGTTCCATAAACTTGATTCTAATTGAGTGAGAGTGGTGAAACTTCGTGTATAGTTTCATTACATCAGTAATTTGACTAAGTTTGCAGGGGCGAATCAAGAAATTTTTACAGGAAAGGGTTTGTCAGGTTTCTGTTAAGGAAATTTAACAGTTTACAATGTATAATGCCTTCATTCATCCTCTCCAAATTACGTAGGCATACATACACACTGAGCTTTTTAAAGAGAGAAATCCAACAACCTGATTGACGTCAATTTTTATTGTGAATTAATAGGATCACATTGCGATTCAATCTCATTTTAATACAAAGCATTAGTCGTGATATCTCGCGCTTTGATTTTCCATCCCATCCGACAATCTGATGAAAAATGATAAAGCACACGACCGTGTCACTGTTCTTATAAACGTGTTGTTTAACAATGTTTTTTTTATGTAGCTGAGTGGAGGGAGGCTCCCCATCCCCTTCCGGATCCGCCCCTGTTTTGATGATGAGCATTTTCTGCTCAGGCCAAGTAGAGACTTCAATCAGAGTGGTCGACGAGACACTGGAACACAATGACTCGCCTTTTGCTGGGCTTAGTAGCGATAAGCATTGTCATTGGTCAAGACTTTTTAACATATCAACTCTGCTTTTAATTGAGGCAGAATGTTTAAACTTGGCGTTGATGTTCATTAGGTGATTGTCATGAACTCAGTTCAATGGTCAACTTTTGCCGCTAAAGCTAAGCAGATCTAAGCAATTTCATTGGTTGATTTTGGGACAAGATAATTTTGGTTTAAACTACCATCTACTTCATAGATAGTTAAATCGTGAAAATTTTCTGCTTACTAAGAATAGATAATCAGTTTGATTGCTCGATACTTTTCAAAAAGATAAATGTGAAATTAATTAATATGTCATCTATTTATTTTGGCTCGCTACCTTATTTGTTTTGCTACCTTATGTGCAGTACACAGGCCTCACGAGAGGAGGGTGCAGTCGGTGCGCATGCCCTTATGACAGTATGACTAAATGGTCCACAGACCTTTTACAAAGATTTTTGATTCCCCAGAACATGTATATTGCAACTGAATCATCTAGATATGACTATTGTTAGGAGGAGAGGGGGCAAAAAAGGTCTCGCCCCAGCATATTTTTTTCTACTCTAAGGCTCCGGCAGTTCAATACTCATCAGCGAACCCGACGAAGTCATTTACCTTAGGAACATCTATACCATGTTTGAACGTACCACCTCAATTAGAAATAGATCATCGCGCCCCGCCACGTTTGTCAGATATACAAATATACTCATTTCAATAGCCTCCGTCTTAGGACTACAAACCCAAACCAATGATTCATACTAATAACAAACAGTTGGGTTTCAACAAGTGAACTAGAGCAGAATGTTTAATACATGGCACCCATTAGACGGACCCCAATTACATATATATCATTTTAGCAACCGTGCCCAAATGGAGAATCAAACCGGGAAATCAGGGGTATATATGACCCCCCCCCCCAAAAAAAAAAAAAAAAAAAAAAAAAAGAAATATGGAATAAGAATATATTATAATGAAACAGAAAAATGGTAAACATTTTAATGTCAGAACATAAATCGCCATAATCTGTTGATCTATCACTGAGCAGGGGTCTGTATCAAAAAGCAAAATATGGATTAATTATACATTATAATTGGGTCATAAGTCGCTATAATCAGTAACCTCAGATGCACATTAGGGTGAACCAGATTCAAAAATACTGGCATATTCCTGAAACAATGGCCCGAGAATCAAACGAAATACTGGGCATATCAGGAATCGCAATCCCATGACTTAGTCCTGCAGTCAGGAGTTCCAAGCAAAATGTTAACAATAACTCGATTTAGGGCCTGACTAAAAACGTCATCAAGTACATGCTATATTTATACTAACAAGTCTACAGTAAGCTACGTGAGGCTGATTTCCCCCGCCGAAATCCCAAAATAAATAGATGGCACATATTGATTAATTGCACATTTATCGTTTTCAAAAGTATTCAGCAATCAAACTGATTATCTATGTTCTCGACCAAACTCAGTAAAGGTGTTGAAGTATGTACCTGGTAGTGAAAGTACGATAAGTTAACCACTCTCCATCAGTGACGAGACTATACGCCAACTTGTTGGTTGGATGACCGAATGACGGGCGACAACAATTGTGAAGTTGACATAAAATCAAATATTGGTGAAAGCACCCGATGCCTTCATCCTCGGCAAATAATAGGGTATTGGTTAACTTTGGTTTAAACCAAAATGCAGAAAACATAACGGACAATATTCCATATTTATGAAAAAAGTCAATTTATTGATAAAGAGTATTTTACAATATAAACAATTTATTCGATATTCTGAATAGGATTTAACAACAGACAAGAGCCTATGTAAGTTCTCTCTCCCCCCCCCCCACTTATATCTACTATAATATTTGTAAACCTTTTCTTTCAGATAGGATTCGAGGTTAAAGATCTAACAAATATATAAACTGAAACAAAGCATCTATAAATATTTAGTTTTCCCTAAAATAAATATGGCAAAAACTAAATAATACTGTAATGGGAGTTATTGTAATGAAGAGAAAAGAATTCAAAGGGAGTTTAATGTCTAGCTGTTCTGCACCAACCCGTTATGGTTCAGATACCCCGATGTCATTCCGGTTGTATACATTAAATATTGGCAAATATTACAAAGTATCGACTTTATTTAGTCTACCAGTCAGTATATAGTTTTATTATAAAGTTCTTAAACACACAGTACAAGCTTATAACATATTAAACAGGCATCATGCAACATCTAAATCTTCCTATTGCAGGTCTTTCTTTAGGCCTTAATTAGACATTTATTAACATGACAAGACAAGACCATATTCAACTTCCGATGTCATCAGATCTTCAACAGATTTGAATCCGATCTGCAGTTCAAAGGCGGTTCATAATTAACCGTAAAAATGGAAAATCGAGAGTTTGTTTATTATCGTAACAACGGTAATAATGACAAACGAGGCTACAGTGTTATTGAACTGAGGTTTTCTCGGCACAGAGTGAAGTAATTTGATTCAAATATATTTCAGCATATTCCCTTTACATTTGATTCAAATATATTTCAGCATATTCCCTTTACATTATCTTCCATAATTCTACAATTCCATTAGGGGATTAACATAATGGTTCAATTTTATTTCAATATCTTATTTCCGACAAAACTATCCAGCACACTAAGTGGATTATTGTTATTTTTTTTCTCTTATTATTTTTAAAAATATTTTTGGTTATATCGATAGCTTTGCCCATGAGTGAACTGTAAGGCTTTTTTATATGGTTGATTATCCAGTAACATTGTCGTCAAACGTTGACAACTGTCCCGGACTCTCGTACGTTGACGACTAGGTGATTCTTGAATAATTACATTTGTGTGCTAGGGGAATAATATGTCAGAAAACATATACTTTACTGTATCTTAAGTTTTATTACCGCGACTATTATAATTATTGTCTGTTAGCCTCTTTATACGAAATGTTTCGACATGTTATTGACGCTACCATCTAAATTTTGTAAAGGTTCGTTGGTTTATGTAGTTCGTTCCACCACCACGACAATGTTTTACATGCAATTTACCGGTTGTTTGGGCGATGGTGGTGGATTATTGTTCAGATGGCTGACAATCCTGTAATTTTATTTTGCATACTTGTGAGAAATTGTTTTGACATGCCCAATACGTACTCTGATACGATTGTCATAATGTTACTATAAAATAAAACGGAATAATCTACAAATAATAAATAGTTAAAAGCCCCACTCCACTAGAGAACTCGTACACGTGTTCCTTATTTGAATTGCTCATTCTTCATTATCCCGATCGGTGTAAAAAAAAGTATGACATTAAATCATACATTCATTTTATTTATTAAGAATTAACAAAACATAATGGCTGGAAATTGTTTTTTGGATATTATATGACACTGGCCAGAATCCATCTTCCGTTCGCTCTTTATGAATATTAGTTATCCTTCTTTTGTTGGCTAAGAGTATCAATAGAGAGTAAGACTACGGTTCATTGTTTCAGGGGTATCAAACTTTTTCTATAAACCTAATAGTCTGTAAATCATAGGTAAAATACCTACAGGTAAAATAGAAATCCTATCTGTACATCATATCCTTCCTATTTGCACTGAATAAATGCAGTCTCTTGTATATGCTTGCGCCAGCAGTCATACAAGTACGGGTTATTAACACTAGCAATATAATGTCTATTCAGGATAAAGGTCTTAATATCGATTCACTACAACACGCGTCTGGTCTGTCTAAATAGGACATACCTGTTATTCAAAACATATTGAATATTTTAACTCGGTTAACTCAACAGTCCCGTGACTGGATAGATTCCAAAGCAAACAAAGAATTGATCAACTAAAACAAAAGTCACGTTGCATAATTTGGATAATAATATTTATAAGTTCTGCTATTTGCAATGATTATGTTGTATATAAACAAGTCATAATGTGGATTTAAAAGAAAATCAGTATTACCAAGGAACTCGAACAATGAGCATAAACTATGGACTTTACTCTCTTCTGGTCTGTAAATATTTATTTTATATTATTTATGCATGTTTTAATATCACTGTGAAGATAACTATTGTCCAGAAGCTTATTCTCGAGACTATAAGAGGAATATGGTGGCATTTTAGGACAAACATTATATTAACCCTTAACAACCAGCAGAAAGGGGGAGCAGGTATTGCTTGTGTCGTCTTCAAAAGCCCACGCCAGTCAGTACAGAAAGAAGGACATTAAACCCAAATTTCATTCATTTGGCTTATATGACAAAAACAACATTTATCGCAATAGCCATTCATGTGTCAATAGTTTGAATTTGATAGTCGTCGTTTTCGTGCTCTACATAACAAAGAAAATTTGTGTCTATGCAATTTGTCCCTTTTCTTTCACCTGAATATTTTAGTATGGACTAAGGGGATTGGATGGCCGAATGGTTAGCACGTGTGCGCTGTATCATAAGGTCTGTCATTGAGTCAACTAGCGTGGTTTCGATTCCCCGGTTGTACGTGACAAAGAGTAGGGTCGCCTGTCCAACCTCGTGGTTTTCTCCGAGCCCCCCGGTTCCCCCTACTGCTAAAGAACCCTACGCGTAAGCGAATTATTGAAATAAAATTGAAACACGTGTTAGTCCCGAAATTACCTAATTTGTGTCGAGTTGACGTTAAACCCCATTTCTCCCTCTCTCTTTAGTATAGACTAGAAATTGAATGCTATGTCTAAATAAACACTTTACGCCATACCTTGATAATAAAATGTTAAACAGCCAAGAAAAGTAATATTAAGATCAATATATATATTTCAACTATGGATATAAGTTCTCTACCATGGACGGCATTATATTTAGACACGTTTTCAGATGCAAATTAGAGATAAATCAAATGAAGCAGCTGTCCTGGTCATCAAACCTTTTTTACTATAAGATTCATATCTAGATATTAAACATAAAAGTGTTGGACTACGATTGCGGATGATAGAATTTGGCAGAGTCAAAAACAAAATCATCTTTTTAAGCAATTTATTTTTACGTTTCAGCCAAGTCGCAAGTTTTATGGTTATTCCGACGTTTGGATTTGAAACTTATCAACACAATATACCGAATGGTAATATTGTACCACATCCCTGTAAACCAAATCACTTGTGGCATGGAGTTGGACACAAATTTGCATTGGGCAAAGAAAACTTGAATTTCTTTGGAAAAGATTTTGCTTCGGCTGGCCATGTAAGTATCCTACTGGCAGCGTGTATATTCAACTGATGGCATATTATCCCAATACGGTTGTAATTTATTGTTTTTGCCTAAACTTCTGCTAATTGTATAACATGCATTTTAAAGAATGAACTCCTCTTTTTTATTTTATTTATAAAAACACCCCTGTTATTCGCAAATCCCGTACACAAACAGCTGAGTTCATGTTCTCATCGTCGAATTTCCACCAATTTGGATTTCTGGGCATTGCCAGATTTAGTACTTTACATGTAGGTAGCTTACATATTTCAGCTTTGAAACGCTATACTAAACTATGCTCTAAACTGTTTATAAAGGGTAGCAATGAATAGATTGACGATAAATAATCTATTCCTGTGTCCATACTATAAACATAGATTATGTTCAATGTTTGTAATATTACTGTGGTTAGGCATTCTATTTGATTTAAATAGTGTTGACGTTGTGTTGTGCACAGTGTGCTAATGGTACCCCTTGCGTCTCGGGTTCGCTTCCGGTGTTGACCGAGAAAGTTCCTCGAAATATTCCCGCTGGTTTCCCATTGTCAGGGGTCCTGGACTGATGACCCGACAGAGAACAGTATCTATAGTCGTTCGGGTGGTACGAAAAAGTCGAGGCCTCGATACACTTGACATGCATTTTGGAATTCGAAATAAAAGTATGTAGTAGTGACACTGTCTGGACAAAGTTTCCCGCAGAGCACACTGCATGGCGCCTGTCCGTCTTTATGAGCCCAGTCGGTGCAGAAAAGTAAGGCGTTTAACCCCATTTCATTCATTTCAATTTTCTGTTGCACTAGAACTACATGTTAACTTAGCACTGATAAAATGACCTCTAAATTTCAAAACAGATACCAAATACCAGTCAACGGAAAAAGACCTCTATCGAGTCCCGCAACAATTTTTTGTGGAGTTAAGTGTCACTGCTACAAAAACCTAGTAAATACTCCGTGGTTTTGTTTGGCTTGTATTCAAACTTTTTAGACTAGCCTTGCAGAACATAGAGTTGCCCTTTAATTATCTTGTGGAGGTATCGCCTCCTTACCGTAAGTTATTAAACGCTGTACAGTATTTTTTTTTATTATAGACCTTCTTTTCTCCTTTCATTTTCAAAAGGCTGGTGGGGAATCTATATTTGTTGCTTTGTACGGAGAATAATTGCTATGATCTATAATTATTCATTCTTAGCAATGGACCGACGCTTTGTGCAAGAAAGATTCGGACGGAGATGGTAAAACGAATGGACAAGAACTTGGCGATCCCAATTGTATTTGGTCCCCAGAAAGTTTTCCTGAGCGAAATACTGACATTTCTCATCCAGGTATAGATATGAAGGAAATGGTATCCTCTAGAATTCTTTAAACAGTATAGAGAATATTGAAGTATTTGGTATTATTTCAGCAAGTTTTGTCTTGTGCATATTTGCAATGTTTTAAACGAAACAAACTGCACCTGTTTATTTTAACAATAATTGTTCTTAATAATGATGCAATCTGTACTGTTGACGATGGAAATATTACAGACATATCTAACGTTTATGGAAGTAGTTTTGATGGAAACAAAATCAAGGTATTCGGATCCGTTCAGTATTGCAATATAGATGAAAATATGACCGCTATATGTAGACACCTGTTTTGTAATGAAGAGTTCAATTTTGTATCAACCACTTCATTTGTTTTACAAAATTGGAAGTCTAGTAAAAAAAACCAACAGTTTTTAATGTCTATATATACCAGGTTTTAGTAATTTAGTTTATATATAATTGAACCTTTATTCCAAAACTGGTTACAGTATATCCATTCAGTTTTGTATAACATGGCCGAATTTTCGTGTAGATTTGTTTTTGTTGAATCTATATTTACTATATGGCATAACGACTCAATACATTAATGAACGTTATATGATTTGTACTACACGACTATTATTACCCCTGGGTTTCAACAAAATAAAATGGTTATGATTTATTATAATCATTTTAATTTCGTTTTAAAAATAAAGTATGTTTTCTACACCGCTGTCTGTTTTTTCCAGGTGTATGTGAACCCTGGAATGAGCCAAAATGTCAACATCAGCTGGCATGGCTAGAGTCTGAATGTCAAAAAGAGGAATTTGCCTGCGATGCGATAAACCAGGCAGGTAATTGTACTTTATAACACTCGATTGAAAAATGCAATGAAATGGGGTCTAACGTCATATTGTTCTGCTCCGACTGAGCTAATGAAGATGGGCATTCGCCATACAGTGTTCTATGAGGGAAATTTTGCCCGGATAGCGGCGCTACTACCCGTTCTTACATCGAATCCCAACTACCAATGGTACTTTTATGTATACGCCAATGTGTATATGGGACCTTGGTTTTTCGTCTCATCCGAGCGACTATACGAAAAATCCTGATAAACTTTCTCGATCAACGTCAGGATCGAACAGGGGACCTCCATATTAGCGGGCCAACGTCCTGACCCACCACAGCTCCACACTTGATTGAAGGTAGGAAATGATTATAGAAATTTAATGATTTTCAAAAGACACCCTTATAGTAATAAAAGTGTATCTTTGAAAGATATCTGAGATTTTCATAATTTATGCATGTAAATTTATCCATGGGGATATTTCAAGATGTTCCTTTAATTTTATTGCTGATCGCACTTTCCCTTTTATGGTTCTGAGAAAATTATTAACAAGCCTGAGATTTAAAAGAATTATAACTATGCGAACTGGTGTTACTTCTACAGTTTGAGATACGTAGACGCTAAATATGAGACTCATGCCACAAGTGGTAGATTTGTAGTTTAATGATACACGGTAAATGTTAATGATTAATACTGAAATCTAGACTTTGTATTTAGTTTTACAGCAGACAATATATTTGCAGGTATCTCGAATGTAACCATTCAGTTTCCTAAAACTGCAGTACCTAATGCAGAGACTACTTATATTTGCATCGTATTTGATTTGCCACAAGATGATGATTACCATTTGGTTGCGACACAGCCTATTATCGACAATATACAAATAATGCATCATGCTGTTTTATTTGGATGTGAAGATGGTATGTACTTTATATTAGTTTGCACGAAATATATGACTGTGCTAGAACTGTGTCGTAAATGGGAACGTCGACAGAATAGCTAAACATTGTTTGTTGTAACATGGTATTATGGAAAACATATTCTTATAACGTTTAAATTTCTTTCGAATATAAGAATACTTTAACTGACGCACTAAATCCATGTGCCAAAATCAATCCAAAACGGATAGCTTCATGAACATACCATAGGCATCATCAATTAACAAACATTGCATTATTCAATTTTAAATTACAGACGCACAGTTAGAACCTAATCCGAAATCTTGCAACATGGTACCTAGTAGCAAGTGTAAGCAGGTTATCAGTATATGGACTGTAGGGTTAAGTGGAGATTGTATTCACAATTCTACCGGGTTCAGAATTGGAACAAAGGGGTTTAAAAGAGCCGCATTACAGGTAATTGGTACATACTGAAGTTGGGTGTGTATTTACCCGTAAATTGTTGTATTTAGAAATATGGAGTAAAACAGCTCTTCCAAATAAAGACTTTTCATTTGAACATTTCAAGAATCATTCCTGTATTACACATTCAAACACACTGTTTTTATAAGCAATACAAGTGGTAATTTGTTATTATTTTATCGACAGTTTCACTGGAACAATCCAACTTTAAGCACGAATTACATTGACCAATCAGCATTAGTATTGTATTTTACGACAAACCGGCGTATCACAGATGCAGGCATTTTGACAGTGGGGGCTTCATTTCTAAATATTCAGCCTCGAACCAAGCATACAGAATATATTGGCATTTGTCCAGGAGAATGTACCAGTCTTGCTGTAAAAGAAAAGGTGTATATAGCTTCCGCGACAAGCCATATGCATTATTTAGGTAAGAAGCTCTAACAAAGACAATATAAATGCCCCCAGTTGGATTTTTCTGAAACATACCTTAGGGCGATGATGCACGTTACCAATATCATTTGAAAGATATAATCTTCTGAAATCAAAATCACTTAATGGGGAGAAATATGTATATCACAAACTGAAATCATCAGTAATATATCCCATTGGCATCAAATTCGACAGTGCATCAGGTAGGCCTACATCATACAGCTTGTGATCCCTTTGCCTTCAAAATACAGAAGTGCTTCAAGGAGAAAATCCTCTAACCCAATATTTTTCATCGAATTGGAAATCAATATTGGCCCATTTCAATCAATATTAATGTTGTTATTTTGACGCGAATTAATATGGGATCCTAATATCAAATATTTAAGACACAATGAACATGTTATAATCAGTGCACGAGTCGGTCGTGTATTCTATGATCATTCGTAATGAACAAAGAAACACATATCCTACAAGGCAATGCAGAAATAATTAGTAATGTCCGATTCACTGACGAGAGAATAATAACAATTCAAAAAACGAGTAAAATAGACTCAGCAGGCGAAAACGACTGTCGTTCAATTTGGACTGTGCACGTATTTCACCGAACATAATTGGTTAGGAAATATAACAATTATTTCAAATAAATTAATATAAATCACTTTACATACATTTATATTACATGAATAATATGCGCTTTTAGACCCATTCCATTGAGGTTTGGTTACATTTATTTTCTTGTTAAAAGTGATTTACCTTTAAACTGGATCTTGTCTTTGGGATATCTTATATACAACATTGATCATTCATATAGTTTTCTTTCAAATTCTAACAAATCTGCGGTCGATCTCAGAAGAGCTATGCCCCCTTTTACGTTATCTAATACTCAAGCATCTCATGTCTGTTAATTCCGAGGATGTCTTTCATTTTTGATACTATTTGCTAATAGTATTTGAATATGTGGGGTGCTATGCGCGAGGTAGCGTATATGTATTGTTAATTGAAGTGGGTTAATCTATTCTCATTTTAACTTATTAATGGGGTTTGGTAAAGGGTTTTTACTTGCCATCTATATATCATTAAATTTCAGGTGTCTCGCAAAAAATAGAACAGTTTCGTAATGGTACAAAAATAAGGAATATTATCAATGATATGAGATATAATTATGATAATCCCATAGTTTACAAGTAAGTTGTTAGATGAACCATTTAAATACTTAGGTTCGGCATAGATTGTTGGCTATGTGAGCAGTGGAAGGCGTTCCATACATTTGGAACACCAACATAGTACCAAAATAAATGTTATATATATAGAGATGAAGACTATACACAAACAAAAGTACAGTTATCTAAAACATACTTTAATCTGAGCGAAGTTATGAATGTTTAAAGATATGACGTAGATCGTTTATTGCAACCTTTCTTGGCAACCGATACTTAGCCTCGATGGTCGATTAATTATGGTTAAAATATTCTCGCGTATATTTAAACCATTTAAATCTCGGCCATCCGATGGACTAGGGAGTTGATTATGGGCTTCATGTGTCCATCAATGTCTAAATAATAACTTATGTAACATTTAAAACCAAACGAAAGACCTTCATTAGGCAGATTTAACTATCCATAATGTATCTTTAACCTTCGGGTGTTTCTGGTCTATTTCAGATTTCAGGAGCCATTGGAACTATTGCCAGGAGATACCATATCCACCACCTGTATCTACAATTCAGTTCACAAAATTGAGGCTACACATTTTGGTGATTCAACAAGTGACGAAATGTGTTTCGGCTTTCTGACATATTATCCTAAAGAACACATAATGTTTTCCTCTTGTACGTCGTGGAAGTCAGTTCCATCCTGTGTCGTTAGCAAAGGAATGACCTACAAAGGGTGCAATTTGTCGAACTTTCTTCGTTTAAGGAATTTTGAATTCATATTACTCTTCCATAAATTCAGAAAATTGTGTGACATTTCTTGTTCAGATACATGTCTTGAGGTCGTCGATGCATTAAGGCTTGTTCCCTGTATGCAAGGTGACTTTCGTGAGTATATCGCTGATCTTACTAAACATATTGAACAGTTTCGTCAGTTTTTCACAATATTAAAACTTTGCTCCAAGGAGTCTCGGGTAGGCGCCTCTATTAGCCATTCCGTGAACTTTTCGTGCAATTCAATATTGATAATCAATTGTTTATTAGTTTGGATTATGACTATCTGAAATTAATTGTGATATATTATTTATCCGCTATGCATATGTCACTCAAAACAACCATTACTTAAAGATACCTTCCCGCATACAAACGGGGTGAGTTGATGATATTTGGACTAAAAGCATATTCAAACTAATTAACCTAAAAAAATTTTGCTTCAAATCCTTCTCAAAACATTGTTTTCGCGAGGGAATACCCCTGCTATTAAAAGTCTTATGAAAAGAAGTCATGTTTGTGTCACGTGACTTAGCTGACGCGCTACCTAGCAACGGGTGCAAAGCCGGAGAAGAATTCATTGCATAGACAAGACGATGCTGTCTTTCTTTAATCGCTGTCCATTTATCATAAATATCGAAGCCTAGTTAAATTCACTGCCCACGTCTTTTTCCGTGGGTTTTATCTCAGAAACTGTTGTACGCTCAAGGTCTTCATCAAGTTTATCAACATAAACATTAAGCGCTTACTAACGCTGGGAGATCAGACGCGACCAGACATTCATAATCGTCGAGCTGCCGGTTACGGAAACCCTTACATTTCTGTTCTGTATGCACTCCATGGGTGTTTTTCAGGGAATCCAGTATTTTTCTAGTATGTTTCTACTTACCTTATATACCAAAACTACCATGCTTTTATTGGAAATAACCACCCGATAAATACCTTATCGGAAAGTATCTTTAAACGTATGTTGTTTGATAAATGCACCTTTATAAGTATGCTTTAATATACGCCTTTTACGTACATTGTTTGATATATCTGCTAAATAATATTTTTTTTTCAAGACTTCTGTTCAGAACTTTACCGTCACTAATACCTGAAACCTCATTGTAACAAGCAAATACATTTATCACCCAATAACACATTCTATAGTAGATATCATAAGGTCTGTCATTGAGTCAACTGGCATGGTTTCGATTCTCCAGTTGTAAGTGACAAAGAGTAGGGTCGCCTGTCCATCCTCGTGGGTTTTCTCCGGGTTTCCCGGTTTGCTCCCATTGCTAAAGACCCCTACACGCAAGCGAATTATTGAAATAAAATTGAACCATATGTTAGTCCCGAAATGATCTGGTTTGTGTCGAGTGTTCGTTAAACCCCATCTCTCTCTCTGTCACTATTCTTAATAGATCTTTTTCAAATTTAATGTTAAGCATTGATGTCTTGAGAGGACAAAAAACAGCGTTCTTATACCATCTGTTCCGGAGTTACCCCCCCACCCCACCTTCCCCATTGCGGCAAAACCTGTGAACGCTATAGAGGTGAAATTTTTATCGGATTTGTTTCAAAGTTGGCGTGGAGCATTGGGACCATAAGAGGGTAAACCCTATCGATATTGAATATTCCTCAAATTTCCTTTTCAGAGACTATAGTTTTTATCAAATTTGGTCAACATCACAGGTTTCCTTTCGGATATGCTACGGACCGTTTGGGCGTATTTAACTTTTTCTCTAAAAGTTGTTTTCTAATATTTCACCAACTCAGTGCTGTGGATATAATCTATTAAAATTTAAATGTCTGCCTTGTATTTTATTACATTATAATTTGTCTTTTAAATAAAGTATAGATACTTTTGTGCTAGACTTCTGAATGGTTATGGGTAGAGAGAGAGAGAGAGAGAGAGAGAGAGAGAGGGGTTTAATGTACACTAGACTCAAACTAGGTAATTTATGGATTAACATATGGTTCAATTTTATTTCAATAATTCGCTTGCACGTAGGGATCTTTAGCAGTGTCAGGCCCCAGAGAAAACCCACTTTCAAGTTTGGTATCGAGACCAAGCCACTTGAGTCAATGGCAGACCTTATGATTTTAAGTGCACGCGTTGGACCATACAGCCCCTCTTATGGTTAATGGACAATTGGTTATTGCTTGACTGAATTTCACATTCACCACCGCATAGATATTTTAAAGGTTTTAATTGTTGGTTATATTTTCATAACTTTGCTCATCAAAATTTGACATTAGAATTGCGCCCGAAAATGGTGTTTATTTAATGTTAGATTTACAGGCGCCATTTTGGGTCCCAAGTATGACGCCATAAAATCTATGACGTCATGGCGTCATATAGCTTTACTTAACAAAACGTTTTATGTTTTTTCTTGGTAGGCCTATATAACGTTTTACGGGCTACAATTTATCCTTAACAAATTGCAAAAGAAACCAATGCAGTTTGGTTCAATGATAAATATGTCAGACGAAATTATACTCAAAATCGGTCAAAAATGACATGATTAACAGAATTCAATTTAGCGTTCTTCAGGAATTATCGGAGACCGATATCTCGTAATCAGTGTCTTTCAGTGGTGTGGGGGGGGGGGGAAATTATTTCTTTTTAAATTCCTCAAACACAGAGTGGTTATGCAAGCGAAATCTGTGGGGAAAATCGAATTTGACAAACATCAATTAAAAAAATGTATTTGTCATTTGGTGGCGGGCATTTCTTTCAATATGACTGCCAAATTTGGTAAAAGAGCACCATTTTAAAAAAAACTAAAAACGAAAAAAAAAAACAACAACATTAATTTGGTAATAAAAGGGCAGCGATAACCTCAAAAATTTAATTTCGAGAAATCTTGATGGTAGAAATTTACAATGGCCGGCAAAATGAAATCCAAAATGGTGGAATTTTAATTAATCGTCATTTCTTTCCGTTGAGTATGACTTGTAATATGTGGTATATTAATCCCGAAATGACATAGTTGCTCTTAAAGCGGAAATTGCAAATTTTTAAGTTATTTTTTTAAAATTTATTAAAATAAAGCCTGAAAATAGATGGTATCCATAAACAGTCCTACCTTGTTAAAGAATAATCCTATTAATCCTATATTTCACTATTGCCAGCTGAGAAATTGGCAAAAATATCATTTTCCTCTTCATTTTTAAACGTTGAAAAAAGCTACTCCATGGTGGAGAATAGAAAACAAGGGAGGTAATTGTGTTATTATTTCCTGTGTAAATGAGTTGTGAGTGTGAGAATGACACCTATGATCGTATAATTGTGAGTTGACAACCTATTGAGCAAAAGACATAGAAATAATTACGTTTTGACTTTCTTAGAAAATTTGCAATTTCCGCTTTAAATGAATATATTGTTAACGCACTTTAAACATCTAGATGCAATAGACTTGGTGTAGAAAATTCTAGGTACATGTACATTGAAATGTTGGCAATAAAGATAATATTATCATAGTTTTTAGTTACACATTGTTAACCAACCACCCATAGATCCTTTAATGATAATAAATCATATCTTTTATTCAGCTCGACGCAATACTTAAAATGAATAGAAGCAGATGCAGTACGTTTAACTGTAGATATTATATATATGTGTTGAATATATAGTACCTTTCGGTTGAATCATATCATAAAAGTATCTTATTTCATAGTTTTACGTATTTGTCGACAAGGTGTACTTTCTATTGTTCCATTTAGCCTATGCATTTTCTTGTTTCACTTGACTAAACAAAACATTTTGTAGGAATGTAGGCTTTTATAGATTGAACAAAAAGCTGATAAATGTTGAGATGTGTGGAACATGTTCGAGCCGATTTGTAATAAATCTCAGACACGATATATATTTGATACTATATAGTTGAGCATCAGAGCAACGTGATTATTTCATTGGAAATGGGGCGCAAATACCCCAAAGAGTCGGACAAAGTCTAAACCAACCGCGTCTCCTTCACTGGGCCCCTTCAATGTCTGTCTACCTGTGGAATAACATGTACATTATTTGTATCTGTTAAATTTGTGCGGTTTATATATTAGATCAATATTATTATTTACACATGGGCTGGGAGTGATAACGTCTTACCCCAAACAAATTGCAAAAGAAACCAGAAAGTTTCGGAGAGCTATATCTCGTATCACATGTCACTGATGAAACATAACATGCCCGAAACACATGTCACGCTAGACACCTTTTATTTATATTACACCGATTTTACACTGATTTTGAGTAAAACTGATTTTAAATGTTTTATCCATTAGTAAATTTTCGAAAAATTGTTGATACAATTAATGATCGATGACCGAAAACTGACACACAATCCGGAATGGCTCCAGACCAAAAAATCATTGAATTTCAGGCATTTATTTTGCCGGCAAGAAGGCAAAAAGGTTAAGTATCTCTCAAATTACTATTTAAATTTTCATTTTTCATTTTACCCGTCTGTACAAAAAATCTGATTTTTAAAGGGTATGCAAGTTAAATATATTGATAGCGCTTTTATCTGGTGTATCTTTTATTTCACTTTCTTATGAATTAGACTATATTTTTATAACAATAATGTGCGCTTTTTGTATAATAATAATAATAATAGTTTGTTCAGCTATACTTTTCGTTTAAAAAATGTATGTTTTATCTCTTTTTCGCGGAATTCTATGACATATCTATATATATAGTACATCCCTGTCGGGGGCAGCCAACTTCGACACAACAATGTGATAGGACATAAAATAGTAAGTAGGTACAAAATTTGTACTACAAATACTTTGGACCCAAGATGGCGTATTTGTACACTTGACGTCATATTTTCATGACGTCATACGCAAAATTTAACGTCATGATGTTATGTAGGAACGGTTCACAGACCATACACAGAGCCTGTAGATCATGTTGTCCGAACCAGGTTTATTGCCGAAAAGTAGAAGTGCAATGTTCTGCCAGGCTAGACACCAAATTGATAAGAATATTGAAGAGTATTGGGAGTTGTTCTAAAATCCCACTGTTTTGAATCGGATTCCTTTGATGAGTCTATTTGACATGTAGATATGATAAAAAGTATATTTTGAAGAATAACTTGTATTTGACTGGACTTCCGTCCGAACCTCAGAAGGTGACACCTGTTAGGTCTCATGGACAACCCCTAGATGGTAACCAGACATTTAAGTTTTCATAGACATACTTCATATACACAGTTCAACAACCTTATTAGCCTAGCGATCCAATCCTAACAGCTAAATGAAAAAAGGGAGGGATATGCACCCTACACTCAGTTATTTGAAATAAATTCGCAGTATCATATATTTGTATTACTTTTTGTCATTTTGTTCGCAAAATGAGGTCATTCTTTAGTAAGCAGCCTTAGGCCTAACAGTACCTTTAATCCGGACCTGCTGGCATGCAACTCCCTTAATTTCTAATTAAATTGTCCCCAAAACTGTAATAAACAATTTACTTTTTTACTTGGCTTTTAACTTCTTTATTAGAACATGAATAATTATGAACAGATTTTCTTCAATGTACTTCAGCATTTATTATTTGAGATACATGATTATATGTTGATTGTATACTATGTTGAAAATTATGTGTTTGAGTTTGGGGTTATTACCTGTACAACTCCTTAGTTTTTCGGCTAGCAGGTACCCCCTCACCCCAACCGGCTGAATTGCTATAAACACGATACCGTGTTGGACGATCAAATATACACATATTATGCATGGTATGTTAGATTCGATTTTCCGAATTAAGTTAAGGTGATCTAAGTAAAAACAAAAATGTCTGTTCTTGCCCTTCATTCGATTAATTCATGCAGTCTCCTTTTATATTATAATGATAGTTACTACTGTTAAATGCTAACATCCATCCAAAACGAGACACATTAACAATCTCTCTCTCTCTCTCTCTCTTTCTCTCTCTCCATTTGTATGGACAGTTTATTTAACGGTTTGGCATAGAATCGAAGAAGAGGGTTTGAATTGAATTTTTTCTGCCAGGTTAAGGTGGGTGATGTTACATGTTTATAGTATACTACTTCAAGTTTGTTTATCTAAAAGAATATGTGGTCA